ATTATATACATATATTAATTTGAAATTTTAACTTAGTAACCTAAATTTTTAATGAAGAGAAAATCTAGGATTAAGCATTTTTAATTATTTGTCATATATGCCAACAATGTATCAATATATACTTTATTATTTGTGATATGAGGTGCTCTTTCATAGAGCAAAATAATTAATGTGGAACAGGAAATATTTATTAATAGATAAAATATATTGTCTTTTCTGTAAAATTCAAGAATACAAGTGTGGTTGAATTTATATTCATCAATTGATGTTTCAGTATTTTAACTTACATATAACTCAGTCATTTTATGAATACCTGTTACTTAGCGTAACAACATGAAACTTCTAATGGCAAGTTTATAAGCACTTATCCCATTTATACTCATCTAATTTATTCATTTATAGAAATTATACCTAAACTACTTACGAAGACTGATCTATTAGACCAGCACAGTCATCATTTCAAATTATTTCTTGTTCCAGGAACAGTTTTAAATGCTTAATTGATGTGTTTGATATGCAGGAAGCAATGGGCACTGTTATATACCTGGGTCAAACTTATACCTTTATGATCTTAAACATAAAAAAGAGATAACTAAAACCCTGCCTGCCCAGCAAACCCTGGTGAAAATGTGTGCTAACAATTCTGAGGACATTTTCACTTTTATTTTACCAAAATATTTAAAACTGGCTTATTTATCAAAGATTTACTTAGGATATGCAAATCAGGAGACATTTTGGTTCATTAGCATAATGGGAACAGTTTCAGTTTTTGAGTGTTCATTTATCAATAAGCCAAATAGAATTCCTATGACTTTACTATGCAGGCACAACTTACAACATATACTCATGTGCTACTCATATAAACACATATGCACAAATAAAGTTTTATATCTTTTATTGAAAAAGTTTTGTCACAAGACAGAAGAAGTTATATACACTCATTGGTTTATAAAGCAATAATTAAAACCAATATGTTTGGGGCTAGGGATTTAGCTCAGTGGCACAGTGCCTGCCTGGCAAGCACAAGGTTGTGAGTTCGATTCCCTGTACCAGAAAAAAAAAAACCAAAAAAAAAATAAATAAAACTAAAACCAGTACGTTTCTAATAAAATGAGGCAAGTTAAGGTTACTTGTTTACATGGCTAAACTTTAAGATTTTCATATTTCTTGCTCAATAGTTTTGTGAAGACTGTGGACAAAATTTTCTAGCAAAGCAGTATCCATAGCAGTTTGGTGTTAAGCCCTTTTTGCCTCCTTTCCTTTTTCTCAATCTTGAATGGGTGGGGGGCCTAATGTTTATGTTTTTCTTACATGTTTACATTTTTTTCTTACATGTTTCCGTTTTAAGAACTGACTGGAATTTAAAAAAAAACAAACCCTCTAAACAACCTTGAATTTAATAATAAATTGCTTTCATTTGTTTACCTGGCTGGTTTGCATGACTAACCAACTTACGTGGCAAACATTTGCAGAAATGATTCTTAAAAGGTTGTCTGCAGTTTTTCTTTGATTTTTTTTTCCTGGCACATGTGACAGAGGAAGCAATTTTTACACCAGGCACAGATCTTATTTTGCTCTTCAAGATTTTGAATCAGGCCTAAAAGTGGTTTTGAAAAGGCAGAACAGTTTCACTACTCTGAGCAAATAAAGCCACCTAAATCTAAATTTTCATTTCAAAGAAGGATGACTCTTAGGAGTATAGGTTGCCACGGAGTTTCATCAACTGCGAAAACCACTATGTAAAAAGTTTTATCTTTTCCTCTACTCTCTGAAATGCCACGGGAAAAACCTTTAAGTGGGCTTTCCCCTGTTTTCATTTCAAATTGTCTTTATCCTAATATGAGTGAAAATGTCAGCAGAGCTGAAATAGGCTGGAAAAAAAAAAAAAGAGAGCTGAAAATCCTTTACATATTAACCTTATAATTGCAACTGAAGAATTACCCTTTCCCCCGATTTAAAGAAAAAACAAAGAAGCTGCACGAAAATGCACCACAATATCATTGCCCAAAGAACCCAAACTTAAAACTTTTTGCATGCGTTAGAATTCTGAAATCCCATTTTTTTTTTTTTCTTATCAGTCCCTCAAGGACAGAAGAAAATCCTTTCAACTCCATCAGGTAATTTTAAGAGTTTGGGCGCAGAGCTTTGCCTTGACAAGGATACCCAGGATTTTAGCTTATCTGGTGCGGTCCTTTGTGCAGGGTCGTGGTTCTGGTGGAGTCTTCTGTGAGTGCCCCTTCTACAGCATTTATTATTTGGCAAAGGCCTGGAAAATGTGATTCCATTTTGATTATGACAACTCCTACCTCCCCCAATAAGCCCATAGGAGCTACTGTAGCCCAAAAAGGGGAGAAGGATGCCTGGGTCTCAGCTGAAGATAAGACAGATCCAGTGGTTTACAATTGTGACCCCTTAAGTTTCAAACAAGGTCAAGCAAGTAGCATGAGTGTTATCTCTATTTGGATGAGAAAACCAAGGCTCGGGCTGTGGGGTGGGTGGGACTGGACTCAGACCGCCTGTGTCCAGAGCCTGGACTTTAAACTTGTTCACTGTGTACTGGTTTGTGGTATAGTGTATTTTCACACAGAGAGAACGAAAGTGAGCACAAGCACACTAGCAAACACAATTTACAGATGAGTTGCTTTATTGGAGAGAGCCCATCGATGAGTGTAGCTGCTGCTGTTAGCCTGAAAGTGGACATAGAGGGGAACAGTGGATGGAGGTGGGAGATTTCGGTTGGGAGAAGGACAAAGGAGTTGGAGTCGGGGACTCGGAACTGGGTGACAAGGCATCCCAGAAGTTGAGCCCCTCAGCAACTGGGGGCATTCCCACTGCACATCCAATTGGGATAGAGCTGGTACTTCTTATTATAGCTCTTCAGGTGTTTTGCAAAACAAGAGGCAGCAGCTTTATCACATTCACACAGCTCCTTCTGACAGGAGCTCTGGTTGGCTGAAATTAGAAGGAAGCAATCACCAGGTGGAGTGGTTTTTATTCTCATGCTGTGGGTTTTTGGAGGGAGAAACAAGAGCTCTCTACGGTTGATACTCCTCATCTGACACAAGTACCTACGCAATGGGAGGCAGAATTCCCGCCTTTAAGCCAATAGGGACACAGAGCACCTGGACTCTGCCTCACTCTCCATGGGAATCCCTCTCTTTGAAGCCCTCAGAGTGCAGAGAAGACCTGTGTGACTTCTTTGGGGTAGCCTCCTCTGGTTAACTGGCCATCCTTATATTGAACAACCCAGAGGGAGTCCTCCGAACTGCATGTCTACTCCTGTCACGCTTTTGCTAAATAGTTCCCTGTTGCTTTTGGATAAAACCTACAGACACCAGGCCTGGAAGGTCTGGATCCAGCCCCTTCCTTGTCATACCCCCTACCCGCTCCGGTCCTCACACTTCCTCTAACAGCACAGTGCAGTCTATGATCCCCTCAGGTCCTCCTCTGGGAACACCCCAACCCTGCTGTTCCCTGCTCTGCACAGCCTCTGGGACCCAGCACAGAAGTCACCACTTTAATGTGTTAAGGTTCTGTCTTTTGCTCCCTACTGCAGCCTTCCCCACCCGGTGATCTCAGGTTCCTTGCCTCCCACTCAGCCCTGAGCTTCTTGAGACAGGGACGGTGTTCCTTTGTGGCTCTGTCTCTGGTGCCCGGCACAGGGCCTCGCACAGTGGACACTCAGTATGTGCAGGAAGGAAACAAGATGGTGTCACAGGGCTCCCTCTTACCTTTGCAGGTGATTGAGCTCCCTTGTATGGTAACGTCATACTTCAGAAATTTCGTTCCACATTTACGGCTTACCAGACGTTTGTAGCAGCAGTCATGCCTGGCACAGCACCTGGAAGGAGAACATCCTGTTGGAGCTGCCTTCCTGCAGCTCCAGGGGCTTCCACGCTCTTTGCTTGGACAGAGACCCAATGACTCAGGGAAGGTGTAGAGCTGGCTACTTTTCCAGCTAGTACTTCCTGAGACCTTCTAACCGGTGGGCATCAGCTCTATCCTTGCAGCTCTGAGCCCTGTCAGTACCAGAAATGAGCAGAGGGCAGAGAAGGCTGGGCTGGCCTTACCAATCTGTGTCATCTTTGGGTGTTCCTTGGCCACTTATACCACAGTGACAGCCATAGGCGCCGTAACTTGTAAGTGCGTTCTTTCCCGTCTTGCTCTTAATCATTTCTGAGAATTGTGCCAAATTGCCAGAGACTTGAGGCAAGCCTGCAAGGGAATGGCCTGGTGATGAAGTGTGAAACCCTTGTCTCTGCTACTGTTTCTCCACAGAGATGTCTTTCCTGCTCCTCCCACTGAGAGGACTGTTCTAGTGAGAAGGCAAGCGGGGGTCAGGGTCCTTCCCTCCCCGTAGTCCCCAAGTGCTCGGAGATCTGAGTTGGTCCTTACCAGAGACCACAGTCAACGCCAGCAGCAGAAGAAGCTTCATGCTGAGAGTTCTGTGAAGGACAGGTACAGACTCATTGGCCTGAACTTCTCTCCCACTTGATCCCATTTTCTGTCCTGGTGGCTATTCTATTGCCCAACTGTACAACCCTGGAGTACACATAGGTGCCGTTCCATCCAGGTCACATCCAGGGTGAGCACCTCTGTTACACACGAAGGCACACCGAGTGACCTCCAACAACACTTGCATATATACCACCCCCTGACCCTTCCCATTTCTCAGATATGCAGGCCTCAGATCTGTGGAGACCTTCCATGATACAGCAATGAGACCTCCCTTGTTCCTCATCAGATGGAGAATGCTTAGGAGGGTGGAAGGAGTTTCATTACAAAATGCTGGTTAAAGGTCAGAGGTCAGAGGTTTTGCTGTCCTACTAGAAATTTCTTGCACAGCCCCACACTGGATTCAGAGTCCATCCATGGTGTCTGACCCCCAATATTTTTCTCTTGAACTAAAGAAACAACCTTTCTTTGTAAGCCCTTCCAACCTCATACCATACACAAATGCATACACTCCTACTCACCCCCACACACAAACATACTTGCACATGGATGTTGTGTGTACAAGTCTTGAACTCCCTGCTATTTCACACATCCTTATACCCTCACAAACTCACACAACACACTTGCACACTCATTATCTTTTGTACATGCCAGTTGTGTGCAGCCATGCTGGTGCACACATGGGGCACACATGCATGCACACATACACACATGAAAACATATAACACAGTTGCTCCCAAAGGCAGCAAATAAGCAGGAACTCTAATGCTCTTGCCTGGGCATTAGGCTGGTATTTACCTCTGAGGCTGCTGGAATTGATCTGCCAAGTGACTGTCTTATTTTTCCTGAACTCCAGCTGCTGTTAAATAGCTGCTCCCTCTGGGACGCTGGGGTTGGTGGTCACGTGGTGTGACATAGGTGTGGTCAATTGTTGTACTCCAAGAGTGGCCCGCCCATTCTCATTGGTAATCACCTTTCTAACCAGATCAATTGGTAGGACAGAGATGATCCCTACAAAATCTTCTTCTTCTTCTTTTTTTTTTTTTTTTTTTTTTTCCAATACCGGGAATCAAACTCACGACCTTGCGCTTGCCAGGCAAGCACTGTGCCGCTGAGCTAAATCCTCAGCCCTTCAAAATCTTTTTTTTAAATTTAGTTTTTTCTTAGTTACATGTTTGTGAAGCCCTGGTAAATCTTTCATGTGGTGGGCTGCTGCCAGAATTTTAAGTCATTTGGGAGACTTGCCCATGGCTTAGCTCCTGACCAGGTAAATTCGCATAACCAGGTCTGTGTGTGACAACCAGTCAGCTCCCTGAAACCACTTCCATGGTGGACAAGGGCCACGTGCTCTGACAGACCATGGACTCATCTACACAGTAACTGGGCCACTTACTGAGTAAGGATTGTGCCTTTCTTCTGCTAAATGTAGTGTTTGGGGATAGGGAAGAGCATTGAGTGCTAACCATTCACCGGATCCATCCATCATTCATTCGCGGGAAGCAAGTACTAAACTCCTACAAAGTCCCTGTGGAAATTTCTGAGAGTTGATGAGGACCATGCCTTAGTCCTGCCCTTGGGGGTCCCCAAAGCCCATCAAGGAAAGGAATGGGCAGATTCCATTTCTCTGTAACTGCGGCCTGGGCTTTCATCTGTTCTTCCTCTTCATGCTCCTTCTCCTCCTCTTCCTCTCTCATCCCTTACAATTTTCTAATCCTAGGGAAAGACAGAGGCTGTCTTTGCCATCCCTTCTAAACCTCTGCTTCCTCTTTAGCCCCAGGGCTTAGCTGTTCAGGTACAGGCCAGCTAATGCTTCTTTTTTTTTCTGCAGGATTCATTGACACAGTATCATGAAATCAATGCATAAAATATCTTTCTCCTTGCTCACCAACTTGTGGTAAGGGTTTAGCTTCCATGGACTGAAGTAAACGTCATGATGCTTGTGAACTTTGTCTGTGCCTCAGTCTCTAGCCCCTCACGGATGTGCAGCCCTGGGTTTGCTCCATAATGGGCATCAGCGTGACGGGTCACTCCAAACTGGTGCCAGAGAAAACCAGGTGTAACTCCTGGCTTTCGTGTGCTCCCATGGTGGGTTCTGAAGGTGGAGGCAGTCTGCATGCTGAGCTGTGCATTGAGAAGAGCTGTCCTGAAATGTCCTGCCACTCTTAGTGTAGAAAATTAACTTATGTTGTATTAATTCTCTGATAGTTGAGATTGGTAATTATCTCAGCATTATCTAGTTTGTCCTGAGTCACTAGAGTGGATTTCCTCTTAAAATTGCAGTATGCCTCATGTGTTAGACCCATGTTATTGGTCAAATTCCTGCTCCTCTTCCTACTTCCTATGTTGAAATTTCAGAATATAACTTTGTTTGGAAACAGGATCATTGCAGATGTAATTACATTAAGGTTAATTCATTAGGTTGGACCTTAAATCTACAAGACTATCTTTACAAAAAAAAGGAAACACTTGGCCTCAGAGACATGCACATGGGGAGAACACCGTGTGAAGATGAATACAGAGATCAGGAAGAGGCTTGCACAAGCCACGGTGCCCAAGATTCCCAGAAACTACCAGCCAGTAGGAGAGAGGCATGGAGCAGATTCTCCAGCTCAGCCCTCATAATCAACCAGCTTTGATCTCTGATTGTAGAACTGTGGAACAATAAACTAATTCAAGCTACACAGTTAAGGGAACTTTGCTCCCAGTTTAAAGCTACAGCAAACAATAGTTCCCAGAAATTCCTGGAAGCCCCTGCACTCTTCCTCTCAATCCAGGATCCACTACTGCAGCAGCTTATTTTAACCCTACATCAGGTTCAGAAGTCTCATGCCCTGTGGTAGACCATGGCTTTTGGTTCAACACTTCCACTTGTGGAGAACTGGTTACTACGATAAGCACAAACACCTTCCCCTCCACATATCCCAGGGCCTCAGTATCAGATCCAGGCTTTAGGGGAAGAAACATTCCAACATTCAACGGTTCTGGTGACATCAGACAGTGCCTCTATTATTTAGCATGGTAAAGTTCAAAGTAAAATTGAGCTGAAAGTACAAAGAGTTCCCATACGGCCCCTCCACCCAAAACACACAAGCCCTTCTCCATATACCTCCTGTAGCGGTGTGGCACTCTGTGGAACCAACACTGACACATCACTATTAAAGTAAGTCCCTAGTTTACATTAGAGGTCACTCTATTTGTTATATGGCTTATGAAAACTGTTTAATGACACAGATCCATTTCTATAGTACAATACAGAGTAATATATTGCTCTAAAAACATACTGTGTTCCTAGCATCCTTCCCTTTTGCCAAACTGTTGGCAACTACTGATCTTTACTGCCTGTACAATTTTGCCTTTTCCAGATGTCATGTGGTAGGACTCTTCCAGTAAGTAGCCTTTTCATATCTGCTCTGACACTTAGTAATATGCCCTTAAGAGTCCTCCGTGTCTTTGGGTGACTTGATAGCTCATTTTTAAAAAATCACTTGAGTATTATTCCATTGTCCAAATGTTGCACAGTTTATTTTTCTCATCAGCCATTGACTGACATGTTGGTTACTTCTAAGTGTTGGTATTTGTGAATAAAGGTGAAATGCACATTTGTGTGCATGTTTTTGTGTGGGCGTAAGTTTTCCACTCCTTTGAGTAAATATCAAAGAACATAATTGCTGGTTACATCAAGCTCAACGTTGAGCTTTGAAAGAAGCTACCAAAGTATCTTCTAAAGTGGATATGCCATTTTCCACCCCTGCCAACAATGATTGAGAGTTAATTTTGCTCTACATTCTCACTAGCATTTGAGTTCTGGACATGAACCTTTCTAACAAATGTGTAATGGCAACTTATAGATTCAATTTTCTAATGATGTAGGACGTTGATCATATTTTCATGTGTTTGACATCTTTATATTTCCTGTGGTAAGATAGCTAATCAGATATTTTGCCAGCTTTTTAGTTAGATGTCTTGATCGTTGATTTTTAAGAACTCTTTGTATATTTTGGATAACATTCCTTTGTCAGATATGTCATATTCAAAAGGTAATTTCCTCCTTTACTCCTGCTTTTTTGCCACATTATTGTATTTATTTTCTTCTTCGCAGTTATTACCATCTTCAGTACTTTATTTATATGAGTGTTTTACTTTTTGGTTAATTAAAGGAAGGGTAAAGAGTAGAGATCTGTAGGCTTCTTGGGTAGGGAGGGTATTTGGAATTTTTTGTTTTTTCCCCTCCTCTTCTTGTTTTCCCCTACAAGATAAGATATGTAATAGAACCTCTGGAATCAGGAACCAAGGTGCAGTTCAAAATACAAGGCATATGTAGGAGGTGGTAGGAAAAGCTCCAGAAGATAATGGAGAGGGAAAGACAGAAAGACAGAGAGAGAGAGAGAGAGAGAGAGAGAGAGAGAGATAGGGCTCAAGAGCATTCAGATGACAGAGCAGGTCTGACACATCTAAAAGGAGTGAGGAAAGTAGGACTGGGTGGGAAAGTAGAACTGTGGGGCAGCTAACCCAATGGGAAGTCCCCAGGCGAGCAAGCCTATTACAAGAGCCCCCGAAACAGACAGTTTTCTAAAACTGTGCCAAAATTTTTAAGAAAAACATCTTAAATAAGGAAATATTTATTTTGGCTTATGGTTCCAGATGGTTCAGTCCATGGTCAGCTGGCTACATTGCATTTAGGCCCCTTGCAAGGTAGAAACACCATAGCAGAAGAGCGTGGGGGAGGAAAGATGTTCACCTCGTGGCTACCCAAGGGAAATGCTTGCCCCACAAAGGGCCATACTCTTCAAGTATGTCCTATCTTCAGTGTTTCCATCACCTTCCAATACCACATAAAACCATGAACCCATCAGTGAATTAATACAAAAGCCCTACCTCTGAATATTGTTACATAGACCAAGCTTTCAACTTAAGAGCCCTTGGGACACCATTTAGATTCAAAACATAAAAATCCCTGTACTAGGAATCAATGGCCTGACC